TGAATGCCCAGAAAGCAGAATTGGCAGAAACTTGCAACAAGTCAGTTCACAGAAAATGCAGGTTTCAAAATCGATTGAGAGCGTTCAGAAAGAAATAAAAGACATTGAGATCTTTTTCAATGTTTCAGAACCACGACTGCGCAAACATTGTGGAAGAACACATTAAATTTTGTTGTAGATTTGAATTATATTCCACATCTGTAGTGTATGAACAGCAAGAATATTCAATAAAAGATGTATGAATTAATGACTTCTCCTTTTGATTTCCTTAATTTGTGATGTTTGATACTTGCTCACTTTATAACAACTTCACAGAGGATCGCATTCATACTCAAATATATACTAGCTTTTTTTTTCTTCATAACCACAAATTAAAGTCTGCAACACTAACACCCAGATTGGTCAAAATGCTAGTTTCAGCTTGTAAAGTAATTGTAATTTTCATCGTTCTACACTTAGCATTTAGCGCATACACAGCTGTGGGTACCATTGAAAGGTCAACAGCATAGCACAATCCCTTACATATGTGAGGCTGTCAAGAACCGCCCCTGTTAAGCTGCAGTTGGTAATCGGCATATTAAGAACCACATCAGATTATTCTTTACCACTGAGTAGCTATTGTGAGAATCAGTAAAAGGATGTAGCCTATTTGGATCACTGCAAGCACAGTAGCAGCCTAAAAGAGCAAAGTATAATATATAGGGAATATCTGTTGCCCTTACAACCTCTCGACCAGAGGTTCACAATCTGTGGTATAAGTATACTAGTGGTACGTTCACTGTAAACATGTCTAACTGATTGGCAATATGTGATCTAATAGGCCTACACAAGTAACTGTCATTTCTCTACGTGTACACATGCTTTCGGCCAATCTGTAAGTTAGTTTTCACTCGGAAATGAAGGCTATTGTTTGCTATACACGAGGAGCAAGACTATAAAAAGGAGGAAAGGGCATCCTTATAGAATGGGAAAGAAAGGAAGAAAAAAAGTAGAAATCCCAGTTCAAGATGCTGGCATTCAGTGCGCCCAAAGTGTAAATCATGATAAATATTTTTGTCAAATACTTTGTGTTTTGTTTCTGCTATGATTATATAAATGTTGCCAAATTATTTGTGATGTATTGCCTCATTTCCATATTCTTTTAACATTATTAAAAAAAAAATATATATATATATATGTTTATATATTGTTCAAAATATGAGGCTTTTTTGTAGCATCCCAAAACTGTGAATACTTTGATAAATCGTTGGATGTTGACTCACAATAGAACACGAGCATTGCATAAGAAATAATCAAAATGTGTTGATATAGAAAGTAAAAATAGAATGAAATAACAATAATGATAATGATAATAGTAATAGCAATAACAATTTAGAAAATCCAAAAATCCTTTCGCATATATAACGTTCCTAGAAATTAAAATTTTTCAAATTATTATGGGTCCTTTAAATAAAATAGAAAAAAGTATGACTTATTTTAGCAATGCTGTGACAACTTTCTGATGTATTTTCAAATTCAAAAATATTAATTCTTTTTCTTTTACTTCACTAAGGAGTAACCACAAAGGGTTTATAATTTTATTTTATCTTATTTTTATTATTATTACTTTTCTTTTTTTTTGGGGGGGGAATCATAAAAAGTCGACTGCTAGAGCCAGTTCTGAAAGAGAACCAGTGGCGCCACCAATCCGGTAGTGACGTCATGAGTTGGTCCTTCTGGTCATGGCGAGATATGTGTATGGTGTGAGAGTGGATGGCATTTGTTGATCATGAATTGTGCATCAGAGAAGCCGTATTGCGTCCCAAAAGTAAAGAGAATGAACTACATGCAACCTCCATTACCCGAGTTTATCCGCCAATAGGCAGATAAAAGCATTTTTTCAAGCTTCTGTCTTTTCGCATTGACCGCGAGTGAGGACCGAATCTCAAATAACAGGAACTCGAATGATCCTTGCATTTACTAAGGTTTATGCCTGCATATATATATATATATATATATATATATATATATATATATATATATATATTATATAATATATTATATATATATATATATATATTGTGTGTTTTCGTGTTCTTTCCTTCATTGTTCCTTTTCCAATTTGTTCGACATAAATCCCACAAACACACATACACACACACACACATGTATATATATATATATATATATATATATATAATAATATATATATATGTATATGTATATATATATATATATATATATATATATATATAATTTAAGCATATATACAAATATTTGTATGCATATATATACAATCATATATATATATTATATATATATTATATATATATATATATATATATATATATATATATATGTATGTATGTGTGTGTGTGTGTGTGTGTGTGTGTGTACATATATATCATTTATGCGTGTATACACATATTTATGTATATGTATATATATACATTTACACATACACAGACACACACATTCACACACGCACTCACACACTCACACACACACACACACATACACACACACATATACATATATAAATATATATGCACTTATAGACATATATACATTTATACACACACACACACACACACACACACACACACACACACACACACACACACATATATATATATATATATATTATATATATATATATATATATATGTGTGTGTGTGTGTGTGTGTGTGTGTGTGTGTGTATGTGTGTGTTCATATATAAATAGACATATATATATATATATATATATATATATAATATATATATATATATATATATATGTATTTTTATTTATGATGTATACATATATGTATATATATGCATGCATTTCTATACATATATATGTATGATGTATATAGACGGAGAGAGAGTGTGCGTGTGCATGTGTGCATAGCTGCATCCCTCCCAAGGGCCGGGATTCCCGCATCGTCTGTTACCCGGTATCGCGGCTGCTTTCAACCGCGCCTTTATCGAGGCTCGGTTCAACTGGCCGGCGAGGTCGACCTTGTTTATCTTGTGCACGAGCTTCCCCTCGCTCCTTCTCCTTGATTTTCGGAGTTGAGAAATACACCGAGAGGAAGACTAGTTCGCTGAATGTAGACAGGCCAGTATGGAAAAAAAGGAAAAAAAAAGAGGAGAGAACTAATCAATTGAATAAGGCCTGGTTCTGGCTTAGGAAAAATGAATAGAGGTTCAGGACGCTGGCAAGCATCATGTTTGGGGAGGTACAGGGTGCCACTGGGGTTTTCCCTGCACAAGCGTTCACAGGGACCCTATGTCCCTGCTCCTTCCCTTTATAAGTGGCAGCAGGGACCTCAAGCCTTTACTCCCTCGTGCCGCTCCTGCCAGTGCTCAGCCTTCAGGAACTCTCGCACTCTCTCGTTCGCTCCTTCGAAGGACATGCTTTGCTTGGCGATGCTATCGTTGTGCGCCGTCGGGTGGGCGGCCGCCGCGCCCCACGAAGAGGATCTGCGAACCAGCGTCGTCTTCAACCAGCTGGCGATCGCCCAGCTGCTCGACAACGTCAGCAACATCTCTCGTGGTGAGGCATTCTATTTTTGATTTTATTTTGTTCGTTTTCATTTATTATTATCCTCAATTTTCTGTTGTTTACTTTAGAGACTATAGTGATGGCAAAGCCTCGCTCACTCAGTGCCACCCGCATTGCACCTGCTGTTGCTCAGAAAGCCCTTGCCTTAACGCCGTCTATCGCGGGGAATTAACTCGTTTCTTCCTGCCAAGGTGACGCCGCAGTGACGACGCAGCTGGCGCAGTTATCCCGCAGCCACACAGCGCAGACGCAGCAGCTGAGTGAAGGTAAGCAAAGTCCACTGCGCCGACATATCCTTAGATGAATAATATTGGATGAGTTGATGCTGTCAATTCTGTTGAAGCTTGCCGACATCTCCCGAAGGAAATAGAGAGACGATAACGATAGTAGACGAATAGACGGTGAGGAAAAGTGCTTCTTAGCCGATTTTCGTTGCTCATGTATTCTATTCAGTGTTTTCATTTTCACGTCTGAAGAAGGGACGTTACTTTGATCTCTTGTAAATTATAGTTTTTAATTTACGTTGCTTAATAAATCTTGCAGACCTTATCATATTTCGACAATTGTCCTCTATATTCAATAAAATACCCCAACACATGCACAGACGAAAGCACTGTCACTCAGACGAGACACAGGCACCGACACACGAACGAACGCAAGCACATTCACAAGCACAAACATTTCGATGTAATTTTCTTTTTTTATTTTCTGTATCATGAAGAGACTTTATTATTTCGAATTCCCTTCCACTTTCTAGGCCTCGCTCGAGTGACATCCAGTGTCGACATCCTCTCTCAGGCTCTGACGTCACACTTGCAGCAGGATGATGTCATCAACCGAGGTGAGTCGCCCGGGTTAAATCAACTCACTTGACAGATGCAAGCACACTCGCGGATACAGACACAATACACACATACACGCAAATATACAAGCATGATAGAAACATACATATAGTCTGAAATACAATTAGATATTTTTACACATTAACAGACAAATTATCATAACAGATTAAAAAAAAAAAAAAAAAAATACGAAAGCGCTGTAGTCTGAGTCGGTGGGGAAGAGGTTTCGATCTGGTTCCAAATGTGAAATATATGTGTGTCTGTGTTGTATCTATATATAAGCACACATTTACCTATGCTTGTGTGTGTATATGTAGATAGACGTTTGTTTCTCTCTATATGTGTGTGTGTGATCTGGTTCCAAATGTGAAATATGTATGCGTGCGTGTGTTTGCAAATACATACACATACATATATATGTATATATATATATGTACATATACACACATTCATTCATGCTTGTAGATAACTGTCTCTTTATATATATGTGTGTGTGTGTGCATATGATATAATATATATTATAATATACATACATAATAATATATATATATATATATATATAATATTATATATATATATAATATCATACATATGTGTATATATATATATATATATATATATATATTATATATATATAGACGCATATGTAAAACAATATGAATTACTTCCAGTTACAACTTTAGCAAGCATGAAATGCTCAGTAAGAAAAGATTTTAGTTTATGGTGAAAGTATGATTTTTCCACAGGTACTTTCATGCCAAGCGACTTTGTGGAAAAAGTGAAAGCACAAGAGAACGAACTGCAAGAACTGTTGCAAAGGAATAACCAAACTGCAGCCGTCATTCAACAGCTTGAAGGACAGAGTCTGCAACTTCAGAATGAGGTCGACCTCAGACGCCAAGAGGCCCAGCAGAAGGAGGACTCGATTGGGCAACTGGAAGCCAGCATTCGGAGAGTGAAAGATGACACCCTGCAGCTTTTGGCCAAAGGCAACGCCACAGAAGCAGAAAAGGCCTCCCTTCAGGCAAAAACACAAGCACTGAAGACCAAGTGGCGGCGGAGAAAGCACTGCGACCTCAGAAGCAGGCAACCAAGTCCCAGTTAGACCAACAAGTGGCAGAGTTAGAAGGCAACAGCAAGGAGATCCGGCAGCAAATGGCCCGGCTGGACCAGGAACTCGAGCAGCTTGAGCAGAGAAAGGCCACGGCCGAAGGGGAGAAAAGGGCTCAGCTGGGAAGGAACGCCGACTTGAAGGAAGCCAAGGAGGATGCACTGGCAGCAGAGACCAGGATCCAGACAGGGATTGATCAGCTGACTGGAAGGATCCGCAGTCTAGAAGCTGAAAACAAAGTGTTGGAAGGACAAAAGAAAAAGAAAGAAGGTGCTCTCGGTGCTCTTCAAGCGTCTCTGGCATCTCTGAACACTAAGAAAATAGAAGCAGACAGAAGATTGTTAGATATATTTCAGAACTACGAAGACATGTGTTACTAGCCAGCAGTTAGTCTATGTATTGTACAGTACATGTAGGATCAAGGATTATTGTGTGGGTATACCAGGGGCCACAATTTGTTCATGGTGGTTGCAGGGAAGTGCACAGACCCTGATATTAATCATATAAGAGGTTCAGTAAAGGATTAAGGCAGTGGGTATAAGGACAACACAAGTTCTCTGGGTTGACAGCGAAGTGACTGTGAAGTGCAAAAGCCTCTGATATTGATTATATCATGTGCTCTGTAGGGGATGAGAGCACTGGGTACCAAGGCAATGAAAGATCTCTATGACCATTTCTTGTATATTTTGCTGTGATCATGATTCTTTTATATAGGCTTTGTTATCCAGAGCATTGCTGTGTGATTGAAGATTAATATATTGGGTTGACCTCTTACTCAGTGCAATTCTTGTTTCCTTGTCTATCTACTCAAGTTTGTTATTTTCTATTCGAATAGTGTAAAGAAGACGATGAGTTCAATCTCAAAGGCCAACTTGATACTATTCAGGTTTGAAGATGTCTGAACACCTCTCCTCTTCTCAACAGAGATCCGCAGTTGCATAAACATCAGCGAAGATTTGCAAACAAGGGACAGCCTCAACGAGAACCAAATCCGGGAACACCAAGAAGCGAGCGCCAAGTTGGAAGCAAAGCGTAGGCAGAATGAGGAGAGAATCCGCCAGGCAGGGACCACCAAGCAACAGTTGCAAGATCAGCTCCTCCAACTGCAGACGGAGGAGCTGCAACTGAAAAATGAGGAAGTGCAGGCCAAGACAGAGAACCTTGAAGCCAAGTCCGCACTCCAGAAGGCAGAAGGAGAGAAAGCCCAACTGAACAACGAGATCAGTCTGCTTACGCAAGAACTCCACCTTGCCAAGGAACAGAACAAACAAATTGAAACGCAGATTTCTTCCGCTAGACAAAAGGTTACACAGTCCACCAGAACTAAGAACGAATTGACACAGGGTAAAGATACAAAAGCAGCTATGAAAAGCTCCTTATCCCAAAATCTAAAGGAAGAAGAGACTCTAATCAAACGGCTCTCTGATGAGAATAGTCGTCTCGAAGAGGACATTGAACGCACCAGAGGAACAGTCGCGAATCTCACGAGGGCGAAGGCAGAGTTGGAAGAAAAGCTGAACGCACTGAACATTCAGAAAGAAGAGTTAAAGAAGGGAATACAGCGTGCTGGGGAATCGGAGAAGTCGGTACAGGCTTCTATCACGAGAGTAGGCCAGGAAATTCAGAAAATTGAAGATGAGATCGGTGACGTAGCATCAAATTTCCAGGATTGCTTTTGACCTATTGTTTCACAGTCTTCAATGTATGGAAAGAATTAAATTATTACAATAAATTACTTGTGCTAAAGTCTATATGAAAATGTTATTACTTGTAGTAAACTTTACCAAAAAAAAACGAACTATATGATATACCCAAAATATAATTGATATGAATAGCAAGGGCCATTTAACAAAAATAATATAATAATAATAACTATCAAAGAGGCTAATGCAATTCTAATTGCAATTCATTGTTATGCTCACCCATTTAGAAATGATATGAAATGTGATGTGAAATTCAGGAGATTCAGTGATATGTAGAAGGAGTTGAAGATATTGTGTTACATATAACTGCTGTCACATAGCAGTGGTAAGAAGAACCTGAACCGCCTCTGTCAAGGTAACCCACCAAGTGGCAACGCACTTACAGTAAACAGAATATTTATGAATTGATCGTATTCAGTGTGTGAGATGCAAATATATATACATATATATATACGTATATATATGTACATACATACATATATGAATGTATATATATTATATATATTAATATATATATATATATAATATATATATGCACACACACGCGCACGCGCATATAAAACATCCATGAATGCAGATGAATCTTCTTATATATTTCATATATATTATTTCTAATATACATAAATGCTCTATTATGTATATTTTATATGTGATGGCGTGTGTACATGTATACACGCACATATCGATATCTTTATCTATCATTATCTTGATATTTACATATATTTATATATAAAGATATATATGTGTATGTGTGTGTGTGCATGTTATGTATACATGTATAAATATAAATAAATAAATAAATATATATAATATATATGAATATATATATATATGTTTATGTGTATATATTATTTATATATACATATATAGATATACAAACATATGAATATATATATATATTATATATATATAAATATATATATATGTATATATGTATGTATATATGTATATAATATATATATATAAATAATATCTATTTATAAGTGTGTGCATACATATATACACTGTGTGTGCATATATGTCTCCGTGTGTACATATATACACATACGTCTGCCCTGGCGTGCGCATGTGTGCACAGCTGCATCCCTGCCAAGAACCGGGATTCCCGAGTCCTCCGTCACCCGGTGTCGCCGCCGTGTTCGAGGAGCCTCAGCAGCAGCCTGGGTCGGCGAGGTCGACCTTGCTTATCTTGAGCGCGAGCTTCCCTCTCGCTTCTTCTTGATATTCGGAGATGGGAAATGCTTTGAGGGAAGACATGAAAAATACAAGAAAAAAGTAGCTCAATTTAGTCAAATAGAAAACAAAGTTATAAGAGAAAATTAGTTAACTGCATAAAGCGTTGTTAAGAATAATGACAGGGTAATTAAACACTTGCAAACCGGCCTTGTGATTCTAAATGAATATTCAGGAGGCTAATAAAAGCATCAAGCACTCGGAGGCACAGGGGTGCCACTGAGGGTTTCCCTGCACAAGCCTCCGCAGGGACCCATGCCCCTCTCCTGCCTTTATAAGTAGCCGCAGCAACCTCAAGCCTTCACTCCCGCGCTCCGTCAGGAACTTCAGGAACTCTCGCACTCTCTCGTTCGCTCCTTCGAAGGACATGCTGGGATTGGCGCTGTTGTCGTTGTGCGCCGTCGGGTGGGCGGCCGCCGCGCCCCACGACGAGGATCTGCGCGCCAGCGTCGTCTTCAACCAGCTGGCGATCGCCCAGCTGCTCGACAACGTCAGCAACATCTCTCGTGGTGAGGCTTTCAATCATTTTGATGTTTATTTCTGGTTCGTTTTCATTTATTATCTTTACTCTTTTGTTGTTTACTTTAGAGACTATAGTGATGGCAAAGCCTCGCTCACTCAGTGCCACCCGCATTGCACCTGCTGTTGCTCAGAAAGCCCCTTGCCTTAACGCCGTCTGTCGCGGGGAATTAACTCGTTTCTTCCTGCCAAGGTGACGCCGCAGTGACGACGCAGCTGGCGCAGTTATCCCGCAGCCACACAGCGCAGACGCAGCAGCTGAGTGAAGGTAAGCAAAGTCCACTGCGCCGACGTATCCTAAGATGAATAATATTGGATGAGTTGATGCTGTCAATTCTGTTGAAGGTTGCCGACCTCTCCCGAAGGAAATAGAGAGACGGTAACGATAGTAGACGAACTCACGGAGTGGGTAAGTAGTCTTTCTTTGGTGATTTTACTTTACTCATTCCTTTCAGTGGTTTCCTTTTCCCGTCTGAGAAGGAATATTACTTTGATCTCTAGTAAAGTCATAGATTTTGATTATTGTTCAGTAATATACCGTGCATACCTAATCACAAATCGGCAATTATCGTCAATCTTCGATAAAGTATCTCAATGCATGCACAGACGAAAGCACATTCACTCAGACGAGACAGGCACCGACGCAAACCAACACACGAACGAACGCAAGCACAAGCAGACGCATGGAAAGTACACTCAGATTTCGACACAAGCACGCTGGTGTCACTTTCCTCTTTGCTTTTTTTTTTCTTCTTCTTCTTCTTTTAATGCCTACCCCCCCCCCCCTTTGCAGGCCTCGTTCAAGTGACATCCAGCCTTGAAATCCTCTCCCAGGCTCTGACGTCACACATGCAGCAGGATGACGTCATCAACCGAGGTGAGTCCCCGAGTTAAATCAACTCACTTGATACACACAAGCACGCTCGCGGACACTGACACAGGCATGATACGTAAATGCACAGTCTGAAATACAACTAGATATTTTTACACATTAACAGAAAAAATGATATAAAAGAGCATGATTAGTCACTCTTGTAACTGATCTTTAAACACAAATACATATCAAGGCCTTTAAGTGCTGTAATGTGTCGAAATGAAAGAGTTTTCGGTCTGATTCCTGCTGTGGTATATAAATGCATACATATATATTTGTATATATATATATAATTATATTACATATATATGTATATATTTATATGATGTGTGTGTATATTATACATATATATATATAATATATATAATTATATATATATATATATATATAATATATATATAATATATATAATATAATATATAATATATATATACATGTGTGTGTGTGTGTATGAATTAAATATAGATAGATAGATGTGTTTGTGTGTATATGTATTCATATATATAACATATATATACTATAGATATAAAGCTAGATATAGACATATAGATAAAGATATATATGTATATAAATATGCATTATCTACATACGTATGTATATATGTAGGTATATATACATACATATATATATGTATACATATACAAGTGCGTGTAAAACACTATGAATGACTCAATTATAGCCTTGAGAAGCGCTCAATCTATGTGCTCCGTAGGAAAAGCTTTTTATTTATGATGAAAATATAATTTTTCCACAGGTACTTTCATGCAAGCGACTTTGTGGAAAAGGTGAAAGCAAAGAGAACGAACTGCAAGAACTGTTGCAAAGAATAACCAAACTGCAGCCGTCATTCAACAGCTGGAAGGACAGAGTCTGCAACTTCAGAATGAGGTCGACCTCAGACGCCAAGAGGCCCAGCAGAAGGAGGACTCGATTGGGCAACTGGAAGCCAGCATTCGGAGAGTGAAAGATGACACCCTGCAGCTTTTGGCCAAAGGCAGCGACACGAAGCAGAAAAGGCTCCCTTCAGCAAAAAACAGCACGCTGAAGGACCAGGTGGCGGCGGAGAAAGCACTGCGATCTCAGAAACAGGCAACCAAGTCCCAGTTAGACCAACAAGTGGCAGAGTTAGAAAGCAACAGCAAGGAGATCCGGCAGCAAATGGCCCGGCTGGACCAGGAACTCGAGCAGCTTGAGCAGAGAAAGGCCACGGCCGAAGGGGAGAAAAGGGCTCAGCTGGGAAGGAACGCCGACTTGAAGGAAGCCAAGGAGGATGCACTGGCAGCAGAGACCAGGATCCAGACAGGGATTGATCAGCTGACTGGAAGGATCCGCAGTCTAGAAGCTGAAAACAAAGTGTTGGAAGGACAAAAGAAAAAGAAAGAAGATGCGCTTGTTGCTCTTCGAGATTCACTGGCATCTAAGAACGCTCAGAAAGAAGATGCAGACGGAAGGCTGGCAGATATTTGGCATGAATTCGAACAAACTTGTTTATTTTAGTGAGCAATTAGTCTGTGTATTATACAGTACACGCAAAATCAAGAAATATGGTGAAGGTATACTAAGTGCCACTATTAGTTCATGGGCTGACTGTTAAATGCAGAGACCCTTATATTGGTTACATTAAGGGATCAGTATCGGATAGGTGTCAGGAGAGTAAAAGTTCGGTGAGGTAACATTGACGTGACTGTGAAGTGCAAAGTTCTTGATATGTGCTTAGATGAGAGCAACCGGTAGAAAGGCATTGAAATAACTCTAAGAGCATTTTTATCGCATGCATATATTAGTGATCATGGTTGTTTTATATAGGGCCTGTTATTCATAGCACTGCAATGTGACCAAGGATTAATATGTAGGGTTAACATTTTACGCAATGCTCTTTGCTTTTCCTTGTCGACTGGTACAAGAAAGTAAAGTAAAGGACAAATAATTAGTATAATACACGTTTGTAGATGTCTGAACAAGTTTCTCCTCTCAACAGAATTCCGTATTTGTACAAACATCAGCGAAGCTTTGCAAACAAGGACCGACCTCAACGAGAACTTAATCCGGGAACAGCAAGAAGCAAGCGCCCAGCTGGAAGCAAAGCGCAAGCAGATGGAGGAGAGAATCCGCCAGGCAGGGACCACCAAGCAACAGTTGCAAGATCAGCTCCTCCAACTGCAGACGGAGGAGCTGCAACTGAAAAATGAGGAAGTGCAGGCCAAGACAGAGAACCTTGAAGCCAAGTCCGCACTCCAGAAGGCAGAAGGAGAGAAAGCCCAACTGAACAACGAGATCAGTCTGCTTACGCAAGAACTCCACCTTGCCAAGGAACAGAACAAACAAATTGAAACGCAGATTCCTCCCATTAGACTAAAGGTTACACAGTCCACCAGAACTAAGAACGAATTGACACAGGGTAAAGATACAAAAGCAGCTATGAAAAGCTCCTTATCCCAAAATCTAAAGGAAGAAGAGACTCTAATCAAACGACACTCTGATGAGAATAGTCGTCTCGAAGAGGACATTGAACGCACCAGAGGAACAGTCGCGAATCTCACGAGGGCGAAGCCAGAGTTGGAAGAAAAGCTGAACGCACTGAACATTCAGAAAGAAGAGTTAAAGAAGGGAATACAGCGTGCTGGGGAATCGAACTCGGTACAGGCTTCAATCGCCAGAGTAGGTCAGGAGATTCAGAAAATTGAATCTCACATTACGGAACTAGGAAGAGAAATGTATAATTGCTTGCGGTAATGGCCTCTTGTCCCAAGGTCTTCAATACGTAGGTAAAAATTGAATAATTACAGCAAATAACTTGTACCATAGTCTATATAATGTCATTACCTTAAGTAAACATTCTAATATATATATAATATATATATATATATATATATATATATATTATATATATATTATATATATATATATAGCCTATAGCATACCCCGAAAATAAGTAATTTAAGTAGTAAGGGTCATCTACAACAAATAGTTAAATACAAAATAATTAGAGATTATTACATTTCAAGTTCAAATTCCTTGTTATGCTGACCTATGTAGCATTATGATGTCTGAAGAGCTAATAACATGGGCTCGTAGATAATCATGAAATGTGACGTGTGAATAAAGATATTCAGTGATGCTTACCATAAAATAATTGGAAGATTTTGTGTTACATATAACTGTTCTTGTATAATTGTGAGCTTCTGAACTTCTAGTAAGGTAACCCACCAAGTGAGAACACACTTCTAATAAACAGAATATTTATGATTTTATTTTTCCGACGTGTGTGATTGCTACATGATACACTCATGAGTGATTACCCTTCTCTCTCTCTCTTCTCTCTCTCTCTCTCCTTCTCTCTCTCTCTCTCTCTCTCTCTCTCTCTCTCTCTCTCTCTCTCTCTCTCTCTCTCTCTCTCTCAGGAGAGGGAATAATATCAATGGATATATGACATATTTGGTGATGCGGGTCCAAGAAGGCTCTGCAAGTACAGAGAGACAACCAAGATATGGACGGGTGAAGATATGGAGGCAGAGAAAAAGACGTGAATAAACAGGATGCTAAGTTAATTCATATTTAACAAAATCATTGAATACAATGATAAGTATAAAGAACATAGAATAACAGATACATTACAAGAACAAAATACAATTATGGAATTTCTGAGTAAACAAGGTTTTAGCAAATTATAAATTACATCTGATATCAAAGAAATAATCTATATAATGAGACCTTTGCATAAATATATACATAACACTTTCCCTTTCTCTGAAAATATATTTTTTCCATATAAGAACATGACTGCTTTATATAAAGGCATAACATGAATTCCTATTAAACAAATTAACAACTCACATTTCAAGATACATAATAATATGGAAGGTAGAAATTACAAATATGTTATACTTCTTTTTAGGAAACAAAAATATGGGTAACACATGCGCGGTTTACACTAAATGCAAAGAAAGTTAAAAATGAGTGTCACATAAATTTTAGGATAAAAAGTGAAGTATAAAGAAAAAATATGTAAAAAAATTAAGAAATAAGAAAAATATTGAGAAAAAAATATAGATAAGAAACAACACAGCATGAAAAGGTGCAGCCACACTATCGAGTATAAGGTATGCAATAAGGTGAGTGTGCATGCGTGAATAAGTAATTAAGTAGCAAATCAATAAGTTGATGTTCGCTTCATAAATGCTTGATAAACCACACAAAAAAAAAAAAACATTTTTGTAATACTAAGAACAAAATTATCACACTTGAAATTTCCAGGATTTGTTATGCAATTTTCTATTACTTACATGTAGCAAGTCCTAAGGATAAAATCTCCTGTTCACCGAGAGAGCAGGGGAGGCTGGAGATGGCATGGCAACCAAAATCTAAAATATATCATTCACTCACTTTTAAATGTCCGTGAATAAGCGATACATATTTTTTAATCTCGCTATCGGTCAGTAAATTATTCATTCTATCCATTCATTTATGCATCTTATTTAAACAATTGTTGTTATCAATCAACATGTAGGTGTTCATATATATATATATATATATATATATATATATATATATATATATATATATATATATTATTATATATATTATATATATTCATATATATATATATATATATAAATATTCATATATATATACATATATATACATATATATATATATATATATATATATATATTATATATATATATATATATATATAATATATATATAGAGAGAGAGAGAGAGAGAGAGAGAGAGAGAGAGAGAGAGAGAGAGAGAGAGAGAGAGAGAAAGAGAAAGAAAGAGAGAGAAAGAGAGAGAGAGAGAGAGAGAGAGAGAGATGTGTGTGTGTGTGTGTGTGTGTGTGTGTGTGTGTGTGTGTATGTATTGATAAATATGATTATTTATTTTCATTTCAGTACTATATAAAGTAAGGATATCATTTTCCTTTTATTATATCATCCGTACATATACCTGCTTTGTTGTTCGAAGTTCCAATATCTTTTTTTTTTTTTTTTTTTTTTGTATGTTTTTGTGGGTCTTCACTGTGTGTCATGAAACGTGATGTTTATTGTTGTACTAGGAATTGACATGACTGTGCCTTTGAATAAATTAGATGTTCTTAGATGATAATGATAACATCTTTACAGATCTATAGATATTGTGTATACCTTAGAAATGGTGCAGATAGAAGGAATATTGTATTTTTTATACTAAGATGAGAGAACGTCATAAGACCACTGCGAGATGCTAGTTACTGATATTCCTAACCGATTTTCTAATTTTCTTTCAACTTCGTAGCTAATTTCCACACAACGCCCCCCCCCCCCCCGCCCACTTCGGGTAAAGATAAGCACTCCTTGACCTCGTCACTCCGTGTGTGTACAATATTTGTCAAACATCAGTTGCAGCTTATAGTTTGTTTACTCAAAATTCCATGTTATTTACTCTTGACATTGTATTCACCAATTTTGTGTTAGAAATTATAAATATATTCATATCCTGTTTATCCACCGACTGCTATCATTATATCATAAATTCATTATACGAAAAAGGATAATAATGGTAAGAAAGAGTATGATATAATTTATTCGTGTAAACTCATAAAATCGGCCTAGACTGCTTTCTTTGATTCAATGTCCAATTCTTCCCACAAATTTCCTTTTCATGGTTGTCAGCCTGTTGGACTTAGCCTAGTCAAGTACCTGTAAAAAAAAAAAAAAAAAA